GTAAGGTGACAGCGTAGGCTGCAGTGGGGCTGGCCGGCAGCGGGAGTGAGCTTTCGTGAGCTGCCATCCAATGGCCAGCGACTGATCTGCCTCACTCGGAAAGAGCGCAATGATAATACCAACATGGGCCAGTGAAGCGACGTCGTCCACAACTAGACTGCAGAACAAAAGGACAGCAACTTGTCTGTTCTCCTTCCCCAATTCCCCAACGCTGTTCTCCTCCCCCAATTCCCCAAAAAAATATTTAAAAAAAAAAGTAGAAATAAATTTATATGTAAATTATATGTGTATGTATATATATCTCACATTATCTAAACTATGCTAAAATATGTTAAAAAGAAGAATGGAAGGAACTAAACCAAAATGTAAATATATTTTGAAGGTAGGATTATGGGCGACTTCTGTTTCTTCTTTCTAGCTTCCTATTATTTTTTTGCAATGAACTATGTGGCTTTTATAATTGAAAAAAGACAAATTTACTTTTTTTTTTTTTTTTAGTTGAGCCATTCTGCCACCTGTTGGCAGCTCAGCGGTGCTCAGCTCAGGCCGGGAATCGAACCACTGTTGCTCAGAGTTCACACTCTTGAGCGAGCTCTTAACTAACTGAATCACTCAGCCGGCCCACAAATTTACTTTTTACAATGGAAAGTGGGAGTTTTCAAACCATGATGGTTAATAAATGAAATCCAGCATATACATAAACACACATGAGAAAATAATTCTTTCTAAACAATAGGTTCCTACAAAAATGAATTATTTCTCACATGAAAATCATCATCTGAAATAGTAAGCAAATTAAACCACTCAAGGATATACTTCTTTGGTATTTGTAGTAGTGACACATGTTAAAGTGAGTAGATTTGGATTTCTCAAACAACACTCTCTGATTCTATATTCTTTTAAGTATACTAACCTTGTTGCTGTGAGTACAGTCTTGTGCTAAAGGAGCTCGTGTCCAAATTTAATGGTGATCTAAATTCACCAGGTGTACACTTTCCAGCTGTAGAATGAAGGGTTTTAATGTATGCATAAACCCTGGATATCAGTGGCCAACTAGATTTACCTGACGTCACTAATCTGTGGGGCATTCTGGTATCCATTAAAACTGTTGGTACACTAGTTTAGGCTTCTTATTATGAATTTTTGTCTGACAGGAAGAAAATTCAACTGCATCGCTTAGAAAACTGCAATAGAAAGAGAAACTGGCAAGTGAATCAATTCTACAACAAAAAGTATATTCAGGTACCTAAAATCTTCCCTCTTTTTTATTTTTAATGAAACAATCAAAATTTGTACTATAGTCATAAATAAAGGGCAGAGAGAGGTGATTTTGAAACTGTTCGTAAGCCAATTTGCACATCAACCATTTTTTCTCAATAACTCTGATTTCGTGACCATCTCTCTCCCATTTTCTTTTTTATTTTTAAAGATTTTTTTNAAAACTGTTAGAAGTGGATATCCCTCTTGCCTCATGAAGTGGGGTTCAGCCACACCCAGCCCTGACCCAGCTGTCTCCCCAATTCATTCATTCATATTCTTATATTCTCCCTCTTCTTCTCCTCCCCTCTCCAGATGACAAACAGGATATTATTTCAGGGACTCCCAAATCTGTTCAAATACTTGGAATCAGCCCAGATGCCTTTTCAAAATACAGAATCTCCAGGAGGTGGGACATAGGAATCTGTTTTTTAAAATCTTCACAGTTAATTCTTATGACCAGTCAGGCTTGTTAATCCCAATCCCAGATTATTACGGGAAGCCTGATGCATTTAAAAGAGACAGAGGCAGACATTCGTTATATGCCTGTAACATAATAGTTTATTGAAGAAAAATAAACTAGAAAATCATGGCTTCATTCCAAAGTTTCCTACTGAAGCACAGTATTCCTACAGAAGAATTGTGAGTCTTCCTGCGTTTCTTAGTCTCAAATATAGTTTAAATGAAAAATAAACAATATAAAAGTTCGCAGTTATTTTTTTCCAGATTTATATTATGCTCCATGTGCACTTGGAAAGTTTACTGTGAAATTATTGAGTGTAGTGTTCTATACATGCCAATTAGGTCAAGTTGGGTAATCATGTTGTATAAAGCATTAACATTCTTTCTGACTTGTTGTCAGCTTGTTCTATCAGTTACTAAGAGAGGTATGTTAATATTTCTACCCATGAAAGTGAACTTGTCTCCTTCTCTTTTTAGTTCTATTAACTTTTGCTTTATATATTTGAAGCTATGTTATTAGATATCTACAACTTTAGAATTATTATATCTTCCTGTTGACCCTCTTATCATTATGAAATTCTATATATCACTCTAATAACACTTCTGCCTTGATTTTATTTTTCTATCTAGTTTGACAATCGTTGTCTTTTAAAGTGTTTAGTCCATTTATATTTAATGTTTTTACTGACACAGGTGGGCTTAGGTCTACCATTTTGCTATTTATTTTCTATTTGTCTCATTGTTCTGTGCATCCTCAACTTACTACAATTTATGTTAAAGTTAGTACTTTTGCTACTTACTGAACTGCAAGAATTTTGCATTTCAATTCTATTTACTCTGTGTCATTGTCATATTTTACTTCTACATACATAGAACAATAAACCACAGAAAACATTATTATTGCTGTTTTAACAAATATTATTTTATATTTCCTACATTTTTTTTTCAGGTACTCTTCATTTCTTTCTACAATTCTGTGCTTCCAACTAGGATAATTTTATTTCATCATTTTTGAAGGATATTTGTACTGGGTATAGTATTTTCAGTTGGGAGTTGAGTTTTTTTTGTTTATTTAACTTCAGTACTTTATAAATGTCATTTCATTGGCTTTTTTTCCCCTGTTGGACTGCTTGTCTTTGTATGTTTCATTCTTTGCAGGTTTTCTATTTGCCAATAGCATAAGTGATATAGATGGGATTCAAATCCAAGTCTTTTCGACTTCAAAGCCTGTGATCCTTTTGATCATGCTGCCCTCAGAATAAAAATTAAGCTTTAATCTTACAAGTCTTTCCAACATCTCGCTTCATCCACTAACAAAGGTTTTCAGACTATAATTTATAAAAGTGGCACATTATAGGATTTAATTCTTACAACAACCTGGATGATTGCTATTAATCTCCTATATAATTTACTTTAACAGTTTGGTATTCACCTCAAATATTGCTCACTATCAAAATTTATAAAGGGTACAAATTCTAAAGTTAGGTTTCTTATTAAAGTCTCCTTATAAACTAATTTGCCACCAGTTATAATCACTTCCAATTTCAATAGGTATTTTATCAATCCTTGGTTCACTTCTCTTAGAAGTCAGTGCTTTGTACTTAAACTAGATGTAGCAATCAACTTCTGATTCAGATCACTATTGTTAGATCATTTACATTATTTTTACATCAGATTACTGATTTTTCTTTTTTATTCATAAATCGTTGCCTGGATTTGGAGTCTTTCTTTACTGACTGCTGTGCGCCATATTTCTTTAGAGTGTGCTGAGGCAGATTCTTTATGCTGTTAATACCATACATGGGAGAGAATTCTGAAGAATTCTAGGCACTTTTGGTGGCGACTAGTCTGGGAGTGCTCTGGAAACTCTTTTAGCTATTATTCAAGAGCAACACCTATAACTGATTAAAATAAAGTGTTGATAAAATTCTTCCCACACACTTTTTGCTTAGGTAAGTGCCTGATGAAACAAAGAAATTTTGAAGCAAGGGAGTGATCTCATGCATGAAAGATCAGAAAAAGAAAAGAAAGCAGATTAATCATTCCTAACAAAAAGGGAAAGAGGTAAATCATCTTCTGTTTTTCCCCAAAACCCATTATGTTGACACCAGCGGGAAATCACAAAAACTTGATTCCATCAAAATTCCTATATAGGAAGGTTGAGATCTTCAAATAACTAAATGATAGTGGAGAGGTAACCAGTCAAATCTTTCCTACTTAGGTCCAAGAGTATTTTCAAGAAGGGAAGGTAGCAGACTGAAAGTAGACTAATGGTAATATTCACAGGAAAGACCTACCTAACTCAGCAGTTTTCCTAAATCCAACTCTGAAGAGTCTATCAAACAGGTCTTCCACTATACAATTCCATTTGGACATATACACTTTTGCTATCTAACTAGGTATTATTTATAACTGGAATAGTGGCTAGGGCCATGCACACATTTTTTCAAATTTTAATTCCAACTCTGTATAAATTATATAAGACTATTTTCTCTAATAAAAGCCTAAGTTNGGGCATCAAACCGCTGTTGCTCAGAGCTCAAACTCTTGAGCAAGTTCTTAACCAACTGAGCCACTCGGCCCTCAGAACATATATTCAAATCTCACTGTCTCACCTTCTGATGTCTCTTTGAATTTATCGCTGCTTTTTTTTTTCCGCCATTTCCAGGGCTTGAAGATCTTCCCAAAGCCTGAGAACTTGCTCTTCCTTTTGGTGGGAGGCGTCGTGTCTCCTCCTGCTTCCACACTGTCCATGACCATGCCTGGATCTGCAGTGGGCTGGCCTGCTTCTTCTGGTGCATGGTGAGGGGGAGAGAGGGAAGAGAACAGCCCATTTATTATTTTAGCATTGTCTTCAAAATGTCCCTTCCCCTCTCTTCCTGTGGTAGTTGGAAAGGATCGGAGCAATGATAAACAACCATGCAGACAGTCAGACTCCTTGACATCACATGGACACCAAACATCAAAATCCATAACAGATAAATTACTAAGGTGGAAAAGGAACCAAACCAAGCTGACATAATTTTAGGACAAAAATTCAATGAGATGATCATAACCGGTTCAAAAATCTCTTAAAGGCATACACACACAAATGTGTCTTCCCAATATGAATGAGATCTTGCCCTGATGCAGCCTACTGTTGCCATTCTCATTCTTTGGGCATGGGGGGAGGCCTTTCCCAGCTAACACTACAATCTCCATGTCACCGAAGCTGTGAATTCCACCATTAGTGAGTGATTCGATATTCTTGGTTAAATATTGCCCTCTCCCTGTTCTCCTCTTTCAGGATATAAATAGTTCCAAGAGGGGGTAACACATTAGGTGTTAACACCTTACTTGTACCTGTTTTTCAGATTATTTTCTTCCTTCACAAGACCCCAGGCAGTTTTGGAACACAGGAAGGGGCTGGGGGTGGGGGATAGGGGCACAGAAAGAGGGTGCTTTAAAATGGAAGGAAATTGCTCTAGAAAGTAGAGCTGACATTCCAGCTTGCCTATCACAATGTTGCTTTAGGGACAATCCTGATTTCAAGGATTCTACAGGAAACATAACTGACATAATAACTGTGCAGGATTGAAATGAAAGGCTATAAATAAATAAATCCCTCATAATGACCATACATGCAGGGTTTCGTTAGGTAGCTTTAGTGGCAGAGAAAGGAGCAGCCAAGACTAGGCCAAGAATAATAATAATTTTAAAAAAAGCAGGAAGGCAACAAAAAAAGCAGGAAGGCAACACAATACAGCTTTGCACTCCACCTACTGTCCCAGGGTTCTCTGGAGAAGTCTAGAGGAGAAGAAAAAAAAAAAGTCATGTGGAATAACAGTCCTGGAATTAAAGTGGAACCTTTACTTTATAGAAATACATCGAGGACGACATACCATATTACTGCATGCAATAAGTTAACATGTTTACTGAACAATTTCACATCTGGAGCAAATAACAAGTTTCGGGGGAGGATAAAAGGGGTATAATAAATGCACTAAAAATCTTTTTTTTAATACTGTAGATATTTTTTCATAAGAGAAAATACACAATCAAAAAGCACTATTATTTTTTTTTTTTTAGAAATACTATCACAATCTATCTTTTCTCAATTGATAGACCTGGGTCTAGGGAAGTCCACTGATGAAGGTCAGATCTACACAACTGTAATTATCAGAGTGACTATAGCAATGACTGCTGATGCATTATTTTGTTGTATCCAGATAACTTAGGCAAAACAGGATCCTGCTTACTGAAGTGCAACAGACCGAGAGGACAGGACTCTTTTCTTAGTTGATTTAGTCCAGGGCAACCTGGGTCTCAAGTACTTTAATTCTTTACATGAAATGCAACAGAATCTGGTTATCACACTGGACCATATTTTTAAAAGTCTAGTTGCCAGGGACATTAGAAGAACTCCTGTCATAACAATTTCCCCTCAGTGGTGCCATGGGATGGACACCCAAGAGTGAACACATGGTATTGCTTTTAAGAGTTAGTGCTTTAACAGTCTTCTCCCAATTATGGAATGTCAATAAGACCTCAAGATATTTCAGAGCATTCATAATATCATAATATTGAACCTATGTTAATGATAACTCAGAAATGAAGCTAAGTAACATAAGCTGTTCATTCTCAAATAATAGCCTTACTTGCAGAGGCAAGGAGGGACTGAAACTTTAAATGTCCTGCTAACCCATCCACTACTGAAGTTCACTCAGTTCCTAAAAACACATAGTAAAATGCTTGTTTGGTTAAAAGTAAGAGGGTGCATTAAAAAAAAAATACAGGCTAACAATATGAAAAAAGAGATTATTAGTGCCATATAATATTTTTACAAAGAAAAAAAAGCCATAAAGCTTTAGGAATGTTAGATGGTAACACATTCACAGGAAAGTCCCTGTATGAAAAGTCTAAATGAAATGGAGCCAATCGAGCCTGCTCCTACTATCTTCTCAGATACTTGACCACTTTCTCAAGTGGAACTTAGTTCATCCCTTTTAATCCCTCATTATATTGAACAATATACTTGTGTCCCCTTTCTCTTACATATTCAAAACAACAAAATCATGATATCCTTTCAAATATATTTATGCCTGCTAGCATA